TATGCACTGATTGAAAAAAAAAAAAACGTGTTATTACTTTCTTCGAGCCTCTCCCCGGCATTACACAAACCTTCACCAGTGATATCCTGGCCGAGCCCTTTTCAGACATACCTGTGGTGTGCAGCGCAGAAGCTTACAATCACACTACAACAATAACTATTGCACAACGCCGGCCACTGTGGAAAGTGAACACAAGCACAAAAATACTGCCGTCGGTGTTGATGTAAGGAGAGAACCGATAGATTTTAACATACACAGCGGAGAACAATAGAAAATATAAATGTAGGCATATTCTGGCCCAGTGAAAGAGTTGCTGTGATGTAATAAACTTGTGGCCTGTTTCAGGGAGGATTGCCACTACAAACAGCAAACCCCTTAACATTCCACTTGGCTACCAACTGCACCGAGGTAAGTAATGATTAACTCTTATGAAGGGAGCGTTTGAATGAGTAACCCCTTCCTTACCCGGCCGTCCACATTTATTATTACATAACCCGGGCGGCCGCGCTAACACACACATAGTACAAACTGTGCTGCCTGGCAAACACAAGGAAACTCTATCTCCGTTTGAAGGGGGCAGCCAACACACTGGCCGGGGCGAGAGGGCCGAGCCGAGGCCAGACACTGATAGACAACTATACCCCCAACAAACACAAATGAGCCAGAAGCAGAACTAATGATCGGGCCTCAAAACAAAGTAATAAAATCTTTTCAGAATGCATCACAATGCGGCTGAAGGCCTGCTGTAGAATTATTAGGCTAGTGGGGCAGTTGTGAGGTTGCCAGACTGGCACTCCTGGCCTCCATTTTGCACTGTGTGTGTGTGTGTGTTTGCGTATCCAAGGTCTTGTTCCTGGTTCACTCCGGTCTCCCAGCACTACAGTGGGTCTATTCTTTTCTGGTGCTTCAGAGAACAGGATTAATGACCAGCAGCAGGGACATGAAAAGGTTGTGTCCACCAGCCACCAGGATTTTACAGCCTTGGGTGTGTGTCACTGTGTGTTTCTTTTTTTTTGTGAGTGTGTAAAGGAATGATAACAGCGCCATCCTTCTTACTAACCCTCTATCTAAGAAAACAAAACATGCTCACACACGCCATTTAATACTTTGTGTAATCTGTAAAGCCAACAGTCGTGCACGAAGCAGAAGAAGCTGCCAACTAACATCTTCTTCTGAAGGTATCACACCATCAAGGGTTCAGGCTAAAACCGGCGCTCTCACTACAGAAAAACTACCCGTGAAGCCCTGATCCTTTTGCTCCAGAGTAGCCACGGTTATCAAACCCTGTTAAACCGTCTGAAGGTCTGAGCAGGAACTCCGCTCGACCCCCTCGCTGCCGATGGCATTTCGTGCATTTAAATCAACACGTCGCCACCTGCAAGGCTGACTCAGTGTGTGAGAGCAGAGAGGCTATGCCAGGTGAGTGTGTGCACGGATACAGTGTGCAAGGTGTTGAGTGTTTGTGTTCAACTGGCGAAAAAAAAATGGCCCGTTTCCATCTCGAGTGCGACTACTTGTGCCAAGCAGAGATATAGCCACACGCAAACACACACAAACCTGTCTGACTAACTGCCTGAAATCTTCCGTAATCAGTGTTCGTGCTGACAGACTTATGTTTTATTGTACCTGAGCAAACCCATTGCGCAAGTCGACCACTACAAAACCGAGGCTTTTTTGTAATGAACTGGCGCTGCTGCTCGACTGCTATAAAAACAGGTTCTCCAGTTTAACGGATAATAGCACATTCACCAGCTTTTAAAACATAGTAATTATTCTTAACAAGCCACTTTCTAACACTTGAGCCAAGTTACAATGGTATAAAAACATCAAAGTGATTCGCAGCTGTTATCCCAATCCATGCTGAACCTATAAATGCCAGTAATCGCAGGTATTGTTCAGCGATCAAATGCCTCGTGATGTCAAACAATCGTGGAAATGTGCAAGGGAAATGGTGCAGCGCTCTCCTTGGGTGCCTGCTGAGCTCGCGCCTTTCTTCAGCCAGCACCACAAGTGGTCCTGATCCAGGCCAGAGTGGAGCGCTGTAAGGCTGCCACTTTGTGCTGATTCAATAAGAAATAATTGCATATTGGCCTCTCTCCATTTATCCCCCTTCACCACCGTGGTCTGACACCTTACTGTAGTTTTGTGCTGCGAGTTACAGTACGGACCCACAACCGGGGAAGGACACTGCAGCATTATTGCTTTTGTTTTGTTGCCGTCCACATTCCTCTGGACTGAGTGGTGGAGCTGAGCATCGATGAGGTATTGAACCTCCTCTGCTATAAAAAGTAGTTCTCAGCAGCACCCGCTGTTCACAGCAAACAGCTGTATGACCGCTGTGGTCTTCATCTACATACAGCAACACATTTCAGACGCTTACTTCACCTCATTTCCTCACAAGGTAGCAGTAAAGACGCCAAGAGTGCCGTGACCAATGATGGAGCCAGACAATTGAAACCATTACTCACATTGAGGTGCCACAAGGTCTCACTAAAGAAATAAAAACAGTCTTGTTTTTTTTCTTTTTGGTCACTCACACTCATCAGTTGCTTATCCAGGCAAGCAGCCATAGAAGTACATAATAACCCATATACAGTATGATGAGCTTTTTATGGAATCCCAAAGTTATGCTTTTAAAAAACTGCCAATCAAGGTCATAAGACAATTCTAATTTCCATCCATCCATCCATTATCTACACACCGCTTATTCCTCACTAGGGTCGTGGGGGGCTGGAGTCTATCCCAGTTGACCCAGGGCAAAGGCAGGTTCACCTGGACAGGTCACCAGTCTATCACAGGGCTACACTTAGAGACAGACAACCAAGCACACTCACATTCACGCCTACGGATAATTCAGAATCACCAATTAACCTCAACATGTTTTTGGACTGTGTGGGAGGAAGCGAACCGGCAACCTTCTTGCTGCGAGGCAACAGTGCTACCACCCTGCAGCCCAATTCTAATTTCAATTACATAAACAATAAGTACACAAAAGTGTCCTTGTTCTGCTCAGAACAGTCACCTAGTTGAGACATCACACTAAATTCATCCAGATTTTTCTTTCTTTCTTTCTTTTGGCAGTTTATACCACTTGTATTCAGAGTTCTTCAAAGTATGTTCCATCCCTACAGTCTTTAAGAATCTGTACCAGGGTTGTCTCGCACAGCCAGATCATTCTCTAACACTGACACGATCCTGGTTGCCCCTGATTGTTATTCTGCTTCAGAAAAAAAGTGTGCTGGTATTATTTTAAAACAATCGCAATGTTCTTGGGTGGTGCTAAGCCCGGACTGTAGCAATGGTGTCCCCTCAAAACAGTGATAGGCAAATATTTCTGGTGGAACATTTGCCCGCACAGACACAAGCACTGTTATCAAAATGACTAATTCACTAATAAGAAAAACAAGCAGGGCCAAATCTACGGCAATGCTGAGTCAAAGGCTAACGAGGTCACAATTAAAGCTGGCTAGCTCATCATACAGCGTAACCTTGCAGTAGTACTAGCGAGCTAGCTTGAAGTCTTTGCTTGTGCTAGCTCGGCATACGTGATGATTAGTGACTTGACTTTATTTCTAAGCCACAAATTTAAATTTATTTATTTAGCAAAATCACAAAGATTTTCAGTTTGTGTTGTTTATGATAAAAAGCACAAACACTGAGAATGTAGTTAAGCTCATGTTTACAGTGAGGGTAATGAACATGTTTCTGTCGTTTATTTAGCCTCATATTTAACGTCGTGACACGACACCATCCCAAACCATCATGCTTACATGTGTTTGTATATTATAGGTTTTGTGTGTCGCTTTATTTTTCTACCTGAGTGTGATTTTTAACCATCTAACTGTATCTAGCTGCCGCCTTTGTGCATCTTTGGCGACTATAAGAAATATTTTACGCTTTATAACAAAGAAAGTAGAAATCTTTGAAAATCCAAAGTCAAAATGACTCCTCCTTTTTTAGGATTTTACAAGTTGTAGCCCGGTAATGGTTTAATTAGCCACTAGATTTGTGCACTTGGGCCTTGCATACATGTTGTATTGATATTTAATGAGATGACAGGCTTCAGTGCTGGTTGTTTGGGGAGGCCATACTTTATTCTGGGCCCTGGGCTCTGATCAGATAGATAGATAGATAGACAGACAGACAGACAGACAGACAGATAGATAGATAGATAGATAGATAGATAGATAGATAGATAGATAGATAGATAGATAGATAGATCGATCGCACTGCAGGCAGAAACTTCTAAATCCTCAACCTGACTGTTGCTCCCTTGGGTCAAAGCTTGCACAGGAACTATTTTGCATAATAGACAAGTCAAACAACAGTCTTACAGTCACTCATTGTTTCACTTTGCAGTCATGCTGTCATTGCCTTACTGTGTAAAAAAAAAAAAAAGAAACCTGTGTGGCAGGAATTATTTAAAAAAATAAATAAAAACAACAGAGAGGGACTTGATTTGCCAAAAATAAACCTGTTCTGGTCATCTATCATATAACAGCAGATCACAAAAGCATGATGTCATCCTGCAAAAATCTGCCAAGTGTAGGTGTTGCCCGTCACAAGCAACTTGCACCGCGCATCTCGCAGAGCCGCGGAGGTGCGCAGCGGCGGAGCCCCACTGTTGCCCCCGCTTCAACTGGTCTCTGCTGGAGGACAAACGGGGTGAATGAAGGTGCATGATGAAGCATATGCTGTCAGCTGGATGTGCAGCGCCCCCCGGCCGCTACTTCAGCTCTCCGCGCTGCATGTCCTGTAGTTTGGTGAGCCCCAAATATCACCTACCTCCCCTCCACACCACCCTCCACCACCACCTTGACCGCTCCACTACATGCTGCACATCTTTATAAAAAAAAATCATTTAGGATTTCAAGCACACACAAGCCCGATTCCAGGCAACTCCACTCTCAAAGATCTGCTCTCAACTTCACAGCCTCTCCTCGCCCAGCCAAGCCCCCACAAAAACACACAACTACAGGCAGGGATCGGTTCGTATTTACCGGCTCGCCACGGCGCCGTTTATCCCGCAGCGAAAGGGCCACAAGTCCGCATTTCCTGGATTGTGATGCGCTGGATAGACGCGCTCCGTCCCCGCGTTCAGTGTGGAGGCAGAGCCGGAGAGGCGCTTCTTCTTCTCCTCCTCCTCCTCCT